GTCCACTGTTAGCTCATTTTCATAACTCTAAGCTTCCTTGTGTGTGAGGCCTTCCAGAGAAAAACCTTCCTGGGAGCACAGAATCTGAGACACCATCAGAGGCTAAGGAGACAGCTGGGTTCCCACTTTTCATTTTCCTCTTTCATTTCATGGTGAGTCCGAGAGCTTGAAATCACCAAAAAGATGCCATTTTAGCTTCATGTTAGAAAACAGCATATGACTAGATACTGGCCAAAGGGAGATGAGTAGAGATGATAAAATCACCTCCTGAGTCATGAGGTCAATAGAAGGGCACAGACTTCCCTTCCCTGCCCCATTTCCAAGGTGGGAATGTTGATGTGAGGAGGAGCTGTGTAGGGTCATGAGAATGAGGGCCTACTCTGCAGATGTGTCAAGCTCTGATATTTCTCTCTTCTACCAGGCAGTGCACCTCTTTATAGCATCAAGTTCCTCTAAATAGCTCCTCTTAATAGCTTCAGATATTATTAATCTCAAACTTATAGAGGCCTGGCCACTCCCATCTTTTAAAATCTTCCATTGTAAAGGCATTTGTGACGATGGTCAGAGATCATTCTACAAAGTGACACTATATAGGGAGGTACAAACAAACCTGGGGAAAATAAAAAATGAGAAGCTTGTTCAGTGACATTGAAATGCAAACTATGAGGAGCCTGCAAGAATCAATGAACTTTGCTCAGTTTCTGCCCGCATCTCATGCCTCCTTCCTGTATGCTACTGCATTTTGAGAAGAGACATCACTATGGCTCCTATTTGAATTCCTGGTTGAATTCTGGCTCTGAGATATATGTAGAGGAAGCCACATGTTAACAAAGGATAGCAAGACAGGAGAGCACTTTGGTGGGATTTTCTTTTTAATTTACTCTGACTCTATCTGTTAGGGTGTATGTGACAGTGAAAATGTTACTCTATCTAGATGGAAAGCCCTTTTCTTGTGGCTATTTCCTGAATCACAGCTACAACTACAGCCTATTCAGAGTTTTCCTAACATCTCTCTTTACCGTAAGCATTGGCAATGGTAACAACTCTCCTCTATGATATGCCTTTGGGGTCTTCTCTATGCTTCTCTATCCCTCTTTATACCTTTGTATAAAGAATCTGCATTGGACCCTGTTCAATTATTCTTTTAGAGTATGTTCTGTGTTTTCCACAGGGGAAATTATAGATACTAGGCCTATATGTGGGGGGGTGGAATTTCAGGAAATCTATAAAATAAAAAACTAAGAACATTAACAATTATTTTGGGAAGTAGACTTCACTAGTCTCTTGTCTCTTCTAAACCAGGGCTAGAGAACACTAGCTGCATAATCAGATGGTTCAGTTGTTGTAGCTCAGCGTTGTGAGTACCAGGTTAGATGTAAGGAAAATAAAAACAAAAACCACAAACAGCCACGTGATGACTTCTTAGAAGCACAGATGAGTCAGAAGTGGAGATCTGAGGAAGGTGTGAGAGAGGAGATCATTTCATTAGCATACAAGTTCTTTTCTCCCATAAGTTCCTAGGGTGCCCCCATCCTCCCATAGAAAATGACACCTGCTGGTTAGATTCTTATTAACTCCAGATAAGAAAGCAACATCTGCAGGGTTCTTGCCAGCAAAGGACCAGAAAATTACCTTAAGGTCAAGGGCTCTTAGGAAAGACCTCCTACTTCAAAGGAGTGCTGAGTCGACTTTCCTTTGGATGGGGAGAAAAGGGAAAGCCTTACTGAATACTTTTTCATCTTAGATCAAATTTATCTTCCTTGAACCAGAGATATGTACCTCATATGGTCAGAGAATTTGTAGGACTCTCAGCCCTAGGATTAGGAAGTTCTGCAACCAGCTTGATCTTACTAGAACACCCAGCTCCTTTAAAAGTCAAAGGGTCCTCTCATTCCACTCAGATCTACTGTCAGGGAACATGGGGTGTCGTCCTAGGTGACTTTAGAAATGAAAAAGTTGGAACAAACAAAGGTCTGGTTTATTTCTGTGTCACACAAGTTCATCCCACAAATATTAAAAACAAATGTTTATTAAGTACTGCATTTGTGTGAGGTTATGAGGTTCCAGGTTATGAGGATATGCGTGAATATGATTGGCTAAAACCCAGGATCTGCATTCATGGTAATGTATGCACATAGAAAACAAAACTCAATTAAATTGGGGAAATTCTAGTTCATTTTTATTGGATATCATTTTATTCAAATGTAGTGTCCTAGTTATAGTTTACATCCTGAATGACTTCCAAAGCCTCCTGTGCTGAAAAGCCCGTATCCACTCCCTATGAGGATAGAGAGGTGGTAAACCGTTTAAGAGGTTGGGCTTAGTAGGTGGATTTTTAGGTCTTTGGGAACTGTGCTTGAAGAGGATTGTGTGACTTGGTGTCTTTTTATTCCTTTCTTATTTTCTAGGTATATAGTGAACTTTTCCTCTCCAAATGCTCACGCTCTGATGTACTGACTCACCACAGGTCCAAAACAACGAGAAACTGATCATTAATTGGAGCAATCAAAACTGAGAGTCAAACTTTGTTCTTTTAATTATTTTAACATTATTAGAAATTATTTTTAATTAATTTTAATTCTTTTAAAATTTTTACCTAGTTTTTAATTTATAAATGATTTCACAAGAAGTTTATAACTTACCATGTGTTTATGTGCAATGTATCTTTTTAAAATTTTTTTTTGTTGTAAAGATACTATACAGAGGGTTACATGAGTACTTTTCCTATCAAGTGTTGTTACCCGCTCCTTAGTTTTTCCCCTAACATCCCTTCCGGCCTCACCTCCCCAACTTCCCCTCTCCCCTACCCACCACCAACATTGTAAATTTCGTTTCCAACATAGTATCTTCTACAACTTGTTGTTACAATGGGTCATTCTGTATCCTTATTTCAGCATTTTGTTATTTCCCTTCCCCTCTCCCAATTTGAAAAATGTATATACAAGATGCAGGGCACTGACATCAAATACAGTGAATACAGGGGTTATACTGTGGGGGAAGAACATTCAAAAGAAATAAAAAAAATCATATAGTATATTTAAAAGTACATTAAAAAGAACAACAAGAAAGATAAAAAATCTCTTGTATCCCTATCTTGGGGTTCATTTCACTTAGCATCATCTTATATGGTCATATGTGCATAGCTTTTTGACTTTTTCTGCTTATCCTAGACATATACTAGTTATTGCAAATAAGAGAAACCATGGGACCTATGTTTCTTTGGGCCTGGCTTACTTCACTTAATATAATTTTTTTCCCAAGTCTTCCCATTTCCTAACAAATGGGGTGGTGTCATTCTTTCTGACAGAGGCATAGAATTCCATTTTATATATGTATATATATATGTATATGTATACACATCATATTTTCTTGATCCATTTATTTACTGAGGGGCATCTGGGTTGGTTCCATATCTTAGCTATGGTGAATAATGCTGCAATAAACATAGTTGTGCTGGTAGCTTTAATATGGCCTTGTTTGTGATGTTTTGGGTAAATGTCCAAAAGTAGGATTGCTGGGTCATAGGGGAGCTCTATGTGTAATCTTTTGAGGAATCTCCATACTTTTTTCCAAAGTGGTTGAACAAGTTTACACTCCAACAATGCAGTAGGATTCCCTTTTGGCCACATCCTCTCCAGCATCTGTTGTTATTAGAATTCTTGATGATAGCCATTCTAACTGGGGTGAGGTGAAATCTCAATGTTGTTTTGATTTGCATATCTTTTATGGCTAGAGAAGTTGAGCATTTCTTCATGTGTCTATTGGCCATTCTTATTTCCTCTTCAGAGAAGTCTCTCTTTAAGTCTTTAGCTCACTTATTTATTGGGCAGTTGTTTCTTTGAGGATTTGTTGTTGGGGGATTTAAGTTTTTGAGCTCCATGTATATTTTAGCTACGAGACCCTTGTCCGTTGTATGGCTAGTGAAGATCTTCTCCCAATCCGTGGGCTTTGTATTGAACTTGCTTGCTATGTCCTTTGCCATGCAGAAGCTCTGCAACTTCATGCAATCCCATTTGTCCAACCTTTCTTTGATTTGTTGTGTTTCTGGATCTTTATTAAGAAAATTTCAGCCTGTGCCAAGGAGCCATAGAGTTTCTCCTATTCCTTCCTGTAATGTTTTCAGAGACATACCACATTTTCTTGATCCATTGTAAGTCACCTGGGTGGTTTCCATAACTTGTCTGTTGTGCATAGTGTTATAAACAGTAGCATAGCAATAAACAGGAGTGTTTAGGACTCTTTATTGTATCTTAAACTCTTCCAGATAAATGCTTAAAAGTTAAAACCTATTTCTATATTAATCAGTTATTCTGCCCCAGTGATTAGAAACTGACTGACCGGGTTGTTTCCTGGGGTATTTCCACTTTTGCTCTCTCTTTGCAGCCAGGTTGCCTTAAGGAAGCACCAGTCCTAATTAGCTCTGCCCTATCTCCAGCAGGTACATCTCTATCTGGCTAAGGATGACATCTGAGGGTGTAAAAGGGAAGGTTTACAAACTGGCCAAGAAAGCCCTGACTCCCTCACAAATCTGTGTGATCCAGAAGGACTCATATAGCATTTCACAAGTAGGTTTTGTGACAGGCAATAGAACCTTGAGAATACTCAATTCCAAAGGCCTTGCTCCTGATCTTCCTGGAGCTCTCTATCATTTAATTAAAAAAGCAATTGCTGAACTGAAAGCATCTTGAAAGAAACAGAAGGGATAAAGATGTTAAATTCTGTCTGATTCGGGTAGAGAGCCAAATTCATTGAATGGATCAATATAATAAGACTAAGCATGCCCTCCCCCCAAACTGGAAATATGAATCCTCCAGAGTCTCTGTCCTACTGGTATAAATCTGACTATACTTAAGCAACAAAAATCATTGTTTTAATTTTTTAATGGTACCAATTAGAAATTGGTACCAAAAAGAGGAGTATGTGTCTACCTGATGATATTGAGGAGGCTTTGGAGTTTGTTTATAGGAGGAATCACATAGAGAAAACTTAGAATGTTGTACCCACATTTCAGGGGTAATTCTGGTGAAGATGCAGATGATATGAATGCTGGTAGGAATGTGGGCTATGAAGGCCATGCTGATGAGATTCCAGATATACTTAGAACCCCTTTGGGAATTGGACTAGAGGCCAACTTTTTACAATGGAGCAAACAATTTGGGTATATTTTGTCCTAGGGCCTTGAAATCCCAGACCCTAGGCCTGGGATTCCACATATCTTGTTCATATCACCTGATGGAACAGATAAAGAGCTGATCTTGGTGAAGGGTGAGCATAAAGATTTGTCACACAGCAAGGACAGCTGCAGGAAGTGGCAGAATAAGGACTTCAACCATCTTCAGCCAACATTGGAGTATAGAAATGAGCTTTACATTAAATAGATAAAGCTTTTGGCAGTAGTTTAAAGGAATGCATAATAATTAAACAGTCCTGGTTGGTCATTATTTTAGATCTACTTTGGGATGGGTTCTAGAGAAGTCATGACTTCAGTCATTACTTGAGAGGAACAAGCTAGTGGAGATAAAGAAATATTGTTGCCTGGCAACAGTATCTTAACAAAGCCCTGTTGTTTATTTCCTTGGGGGCAGGTTCTGCTAATCCTCCTTGTGAAGTTGTCTCTGTCTTTTCTGGTTCCAAAGCAATGGCTTAGAACAAAGATACAAAACAATGGAGGCAAAGATGACAAGATGTTCTGCTTTTAGCTAATTCATAGGCTCAAGTAAAGTCAGTGCTTTTCAGCAAAAGCAACTTCTAAGTGCCTGCTATACCTGATATTTTATGAGAGGTTACACCTAACGATGATGAACTAGCTTAGCTGATGGAGGAAATTTCAAGGCAGCCAGTGCAGCCCAGGTATAACAGAATCATGGGTTTAATGTACAATGAGATCCAAAAACAAGAGGGGGCAGAGCTGAAAGACATTTTGCAGTTTTGACAGAAAAAGGAACATATAAATTTCAGCCAAGGAAGATGGTGTTATTAGCATTGGCAAAAAGAAGCTAAATGTTCTGCACTGGGACATTAAGAGTTGATATCCTCGGGGAATCTCAGAAATCAACAAAGCCACCCTACTCATCATAGACCCAAAGGTGTTTCAAACTCCTTTCAGGAAAGAATCTATTCAGGAAAGTACTTGGGGGCACACTGATCACTCAAGATCACCTAAGGAATAGTTTCTCCAGGATGATTTCCCTCTGTTTGGCCAAAAGGGCACTCATAGACTACTGTAACCATGGTACAAGTGAGCCCATGTAGAGAGCTCTTGCTGACAGCAGACCTTGGTCTTTTTGCAGACACACATTATGCTGAGGTCATCATGGCTTCTAGTGAGATTTCAAAGGAAAGACTCAGAGGCAAAGTGTGTATTTGGTCAGAGTTTCTATAAGCAATCCCCGGTGTGTTAATCCATGTAAATATGGGAATACCCCAAAGCTAAATGGAAACCCCATGAAGATAGAGATGCTGACAAAGTCAGAGTAAAGCCTGGGGAAGCTTTCCTACCAGTAGTCTGCAAAGCCAGGTCAAGAGAGTGGGGCTAACACAAGCAAGGTTGAGGGTGTGGAGCTGCCTAAGCCTTGGATGGGCACATTCCACCACCCTGTACCTTGGATAATGGGAACAGAGCTGTAGCATTTAATATTTGCACATCTGGGTTTCTCTACAGCTTTTGGACAATCTCTCCTCTCTCCTCTCCAAATTCCTCTCTTTTAGAATGGGAATGTATTCCTGGTCCCTGTGCTTGTCCCACCACAGTATCTTAGAAGGATGAAACTTTCTTTTTTGTATTTTCACAAGTACTCACAGCATAATTGCCTTGAATCTCACAGATGAATTTGACCTTTGACTTTTGAGTAATAATCAAGCAGGATTTTGAGGACTCTTGGAAACAGAATAAAGGGATTCTGCATTGTGAGGTGGTCATGAACCTTTGGTGTCAGGGACAGAATTGTGCAATCTTGATGCTGAATGTCTTCCATAGGCCCATATACTAAAGTCTTTATCCCTAAAGCTCTGCTATCAAGAGGAGGTAGAACCTTTAAGAGGTGAGGCATAGAAAGAGGCTCATTTGTTGGGGGGGGCTGCCATTGAAGAGGATTATGGATTCTGTCATCTCAGGTGAGGTTTTTTTGTTTTTCTTCTGAGTATACCCTTGTTATAAAGCCTTGCCATAAGTCCTAAGCAACTAGGCCACCAATCATGGACTAGAAATTTCTAAAATTTCAGCCAATGTAAATCTCATTTTTATAAGTTGGTGATCTCTACTATTTATGTTATAATGATGAAAATCTGGCTAATACAATCAGCAACCTTCAGCTATGAAAGAAATGCTATCATTGTCCTTTCTTTTCCTGAAGCTTACTATGCTACTCATATCTCTTTCAGTCTATTGGCTTCTTTACAAAACTTATAGATGCCTCAATGCTGTAAAATAGACTTTTGAGACCATGCTACAAATGAGAAAACTGAGCATCAGAATGAACTAGACTACACACTCAAGTACACAGCAGTGCACATAACTTTAGGATCATCCCTACTACTGTCCGCCGTATTTCCTTCCCTGTGACCCCTTCACTGCTGGATGTTTTTGTTTGTGTGATCCCTCTGTTTTCAGAAAAAGAAATGTGTTTTCAATGTTGTCTGAAGCTATAGATATATGAGGTGTTAGGAACAGGTCTATAGTTAACCAATTCTGAGTGACAGTAGCAACCAGACTACTGCTTTGACTGACTCTGGTGGACACAGAGTCTCTTATTGTTGCTGTAAAGTGATGTCCATGTGCCTCTACTGTCCTCCATCTGTTGCCCTTATTGCTGGGCATTTGCCTTTCTCTGATTACCTTCTGCATTTTGCTCATTAACATCTTACTTTGTCTCAACATAACTATACTACAATTATTTTTCTTTCTTCCTTCATTTCTGTGTGTCATTCTTCTCTCTCTCTTTACCCACTTCTAGACCATCACAACATCTTAAACAATTGGAAAAGATTGTTTGGGGCAGTCTCATTAAGGAAGGTTCTCAAAGAGGTCTGAAATCAGGGGGACAGCTGGAGGAGGACTTGACAAGGAGCCAGACCTGAAGTCATCATGTCAAGCACTTACCTGAAATTGCTCTCAGATACAGGTTGTATATCCAGTCACCTTCAACTTAAAAAGCATTATGGAAGACCTATTATATGCCAGGTTTTGGGAGAGAAACAGCATGTAGACATAAAGGCAGCAAGCATCTACTTCTGTGCTGATGGGGTGTGGAATAATAGGAGGGAGATAAAAAAGAAGTGGAAAATTTTTTAAAAGGTTGGTTGATCCTTGGGGCCATGCTTTCTCTGAAAGAACAAATACTTGGACTTGAGCCATGAATGTTTATCACATCTAGAGGTTTATGGAAAAAGGGATGTCAAAAAGTCTCATGTCCATAAATATCTATGTACACATTGTGAAGCTCATCACAATAAAGTTCTGAAACATTCTACATTTCTGTGTGTGTTCTACAGCATGTCTTAAATAGACATATTGGCTTGTCTGACCTCTCTAACTTTAGTAGAACTCTCTAATGAATATTCCATTAAGCTACACCTCTAGCTCTATGAATATTCCTTTGAGACAAACATACAACTTAGGGTCCCTGGTTGCCAAGGAAACAAGCAGAAATATCAGGGCCCATGAAATGATCAGCTTTATCCATAAAATGATAACCTTTTCTGAGCTCTGGGCTCCAAAGCCTTCCTGGAAACTCCTGTTTCCTTGCAGTGTATCTTACTTTCATTTTAATATATTTTCTCTATCATTGTCATCATGCCTCCTGTCTCGCTTGAATTCATCCCGTGTAAGATGAAAGAACTGAGGTTTAGCTTCATGGGTAGCATATTATAATTTTTAGCTTTCTGGTAATCTAGTTTAGTGTGGTGACTTGGATTATATAAACTGGAAAGGTTTCCTTCTCCTCTGGTTTGAACCAATAGGAATTAAATTATACGCTATCTCCATGCTTCAGGCACTGTGCTTTAACCTAATTTTCTCCTTCCTCGATTCTTACCTCTTCATGTCTCCTGCTTCTGACTCGAATGCACTGAAAGGGGAATGTGACATCTCTCCTTCCATAGGAGGTAGAATCTCCTCTACTTTCCTTTCCCCCTGCTTAGCAGACAGAACTGGATCCTGCTCACCCAATCTGAATGCTGTACCTATGGATACCACAGAGCCATACCATAGGTCTGCAGTGCTCCTGTGCCTGTCCACCTCCTTGGGTGGATGGGACTTGGCTGCATTGGGCTTGAACTAATGCCCTTCCTTTCTCCTGCAAGGACCTGGTTGCAACACCACCTGTCCCAGCATCCTAGCTTCAGGCTGGGCCAGTGGAAGGTTGCTCAGACTACTGCTGGACCACTAGATCAGTCTACACAGCCTGGATGTCCTTTCCATCCCACCACACCCACAGCTCTTCACCCTATTTGGAATCCCAGGAAATCCCAAAGTTCTGCTTGCTCAACCTTTTGGGTTTCTCCTCTCTTATCCTGACATCATGGAGCCACCTGGGTAAAATTCTTCCTGGCCAGATGATCAGCTCTGTGCCTGAGGACATTACTCCACTGATAGGAGCTCCAACTTTCTCAGTCTCACTTGTTGCAAACAGCAGGTTATCTGCAACAGAGAGAATGTTCGAGGCATTTGGTGCTGGTCCTAAAATCTTGCCTGTTGTTGGCTAATAGGCAGAGTGACTAGGGGACCTAACATAGTAACACCCAGCTAGGAAACTGAGGCTAGATTAAAAATTCCCTACCTAGAGATGGGAGGGAGAAACTGGGGGAAAGTGATGGAAGAGGTGACATTGTCCAGAGAGAATTGTTCTCATTACCTGATGCATGGAACACCTTAATAATAACAATAAAATTATACTGAAAAATCCCTGCACACTGCTCTTTCTCTCGAAGGCACAGTCTGTGTACTCTTCAGGGCATCCAGGCCCAGCTCTGTGTGCTAAGGGATGGAGAAAGTTGGAATAGAATCAAGGCTATTCCTATCTATTTGCATGAGAAAGATGGAGATAAATCCACTCAATTTGGAAAGCCTTGAAAAAGG